TATATTAAAAAGAAACACAATTATTGTGCTCTTGTGTAAGCTATATTGGGCTATCTATGCTATTTTTAATTGCTGGAATAACTTAGAGAGAAAAAAGAAACAGCTGAACATACTTAAATAACGTCATAGTAAATGAAATATCCAATTCACTTTGAGTAATCACCATTTTTCTTTAAAGACTAAAATAAGAAACAAAAAATCCATATATTTTCCTAGTTTGTAAAGAAAAACTTCAAAATTCTCTGTTATCTTAGGGGATTCCAGGTCTTTTCCAGATTTTCCCTGTCAGGGTGCGTAGCCAAATTATTCAACAAAAAATAAGCACCTTTTAAGCACTTTTCAAGTACTCAAAAAATATTTTTAAGCACTTTAAAAAAATATCATAACTAAACAGGGTTGGAAAGTTTTTGACAATTGACGGTTTTATCTTGTTTTAACCGTCATGTCAAAAAACAAACCTTTTGGCATTGTTTTTGACAAATGTCAAAAATCATGAAATTGAATCATCTGAAACGAATAGAGCTTTCATACGCTACGGACTGACAATGCGCCGAAATAGATTGGAGTTGAATAAATTGTGAAAACGTTGAATAGAACAATGTGAACTGAGTCTTTTTGCATAATTCGAAGCGAAAATCAACATAGTAAAGGAAAAATCTCAGTTTGAAAAAGGGAAAATTAAGCACTTTTTAAAAACACCCAATGAAAAAAGCACCTTTAAGGGCTTCTAAAAAACAAAATCAAAAATAAGCACCTTTAAGCACTTTTCAAAAACGCTACGCACCCTGCCTGTAGAGTGGCATTTTGTAGAGTATAATACTCTACAAAATAAAGGAAACCTTTAGAATGTCTTTAATGATCTGGCACATTGCAGAAGACATTTCTAGTGATAAAATTTTCTAGTTCATTTATTCTTGTTCATAATTTTTTACCAACTCTCAGTTGAAGGAGATCCCGAATTTATAAGTGGTCTTTATGATCTTATTATGAAAGAGTTTGATTAGGTTGGCAGGGGTCTGTCTAGGTTTTTCTGAAAGGTACCTATTTTGTGAAAATTTAGACATAATTTGTGAAAAATTAAAAATTATATTACAAAATCAATACAAAAACATGGTAAAAATATAGATTTATCGTTTCTTAAAGGATACAAAAATAAAATTTTAAGAAAAAGTATTTTGTGAAACTACCGTTTTTCCTAAAGTTGAATTTGTGAAACTACCGTTTCACCTAAAATTGAATTTGTGAAGGTACCGCTAAACGGTAGTAAATTCGGCCTGGACAGACCCCTGGTTGGTGAANTTTTTTCTAGAAGAAACCTATTTCTTCCATCTCTGATAATGTCAAGCATAAAATCCTATACATAAAAATAAAAAAAATTATGGTTTAATAATGATGGATAAATGAAAATCTATAATAATGAAATAATAATAAAACTATAATAAAACTGAAAAACTATACCAGGGTTGCCACTCAAATAAGGGAAAAAAAATTCCCTTTTCCCTGTACACATTATATTAAAAAGAAACACAATTATTGTGCTCTTGTGTAAGCTATATTGGGCTATTTATGTTATTTTTAATTGCTGGAATAACTTAGAAAAAAAAAAGAAACAGCTGAACATACTTAAATAACGTCATTGTAAATGAAATATCCAAATCACTTTGAGTAATCACCATTTTTTTAAAGACTAAAATAAGAAACAAAAAATTCATATATTTTCCTAGTTTGTAAAGAAAAACTTCAAAATTCCCTGTTATCTTAGGGGATTCCTGGTCTTTTCCAGGTTTTCCAGGTTACCAACTCTCAGTTGAAGGAGATCCCGAATTTATAAGTGGTCTTTATGATCCTATTATGAAAGAGTTTGATTAGGTTGGTGAAAAAGCTTTCCTAGATTGTAAATAAGTGAATGGTACCTCAAGGAAGATTTCCGCATCGTGATCTGTGGCAAAACAATCGCCAAGACTTGGAAACTTCTGGACAGTGGACCGTGAGAAACAAAAAAAACATCACAGAAAGGAACCAACTCAAAAACAATTCAAAAGGTATAACTTGTAACCACCCCCGGGCAAACATCTACATGTTTTTTCTTTTTAATTTGCAAGTTTAAAATCTATTTGGCACCTTGGCGATTGTAGTTGGCGCTACAAATCACGATACGGAAATATCCCGGTACCTCAATTCGTAAGATTGAAATTATCAGGGTTCTCACTTAAATCTGGAAAAAAAAGTTCCCTTTGATTTCCTATATATATTATACACAATATATAAAGAGGAAACACAAAATCCCCATGCAAATGTGTGAGCTATATTAGGATAACTAATACAAGTTTTAATTGCTGGAAAAACTTAGAGTAATAAACAGATCAACATACACAGAAAAATAATACAGCAAATGAAATAGTATAGTATAGCTGAATTATCTTTACATAATCCATAATTTGCACTTTGAGACGTTGACATTTTGTAATCGAAGAAAATAAGAAATAAAAATTGCCTGTATTTTCCCAGTTTATAAGAAAAAATTCAAAATTCCCTGAATTTTACCTGCTATTTTAGATGATTTTAAATTCCCTGTATTTTTCAGGTTTTCCCTGTGGAGGGGTAACCCTGATTATTTATAATTATAAATTATTTTAAGATTGAAAAACTTGATTAATCAATAAATTATTTTAAGATTGAAAAACTTGATTAATGAATCGATTCTGTTCTGTGCAGTTCAGCACTAATATTTCTATACTTACCACACAATTGTTAAATAAGTTTTACCTAAATTAAATTTAAAACAGATAATTAAAATATAAATTGATAAGATTGTTTGTTTTCCCATAAATCCAAAGCAGATATGAATCAGGAAAACGTGATTCAATTGATAAACTAACAAATTCCTGTAAAAATTTTCAAACTAACCTAATCATTTTTATGTTTTCCTTTGTACCTTGTGTAAATAAATTTTCAGTTAAATATTCACAGCTAAAAAAATAAATAAATGCATAAGCAGAAATAACTTTTTGGATGGTATGGGTAAAAGTTTTTCTATGTAAAAATAAACCAATTAATATTTCAAAAGTAAATTGATACACAACTATTCAAAATGTGAATTTTTAATGATCTTTAAAATAATGCCTTACATTAACAGATGATAGAACACAATTTAAAAATGCAAATGAATCCATCAGATGATACTCCTATTTTTAAACAGCAACAAATAATAGCCGATGCTGTTACAGATCATATTAACGAAAATTCAAGAAACAGTTCATAAGCTAGAGGGTAAATAGTCCTTTTTAAAATCATTAGAGACATAATGAACCTAATTGAGTGCATTACAAATTTTTAAACTTAAAATATTATCACAAATTTAGGAACTTCTGCAATATTGGAAGTTAAAAATTAGTACAAAATATGAAGTGAAACAGTGTCAAAAAACAGTCAAAATAAAAAAAAATTGTTGAAATTTAGAGCTGATAACTAAGTAGCAAAATTATTTTTATTTTTTTTATTGAATGAGATTTTTTAACAAATCTTAAATACTTCCGTATTGCTAATTTCAAATCTGCAATCAGTCTCTCGCTCCAAGCTAGTTTTTTCTTTTAAACAGCATTTTTAGTCTATTTTCGTTGAAATGTGATAGTTTAAATACATTATATATAACAAGGGGCCGAGTAAATGTTGCAACCAACTTCTAAAGGAGTTATGGCAAATCATCAGGACTAAAACTGCACAGGAAGAAATGCCCGAAAATGTTGTCATACACTGTTATGGGCGATTTCCTATTATGAACTGTTTCATATATTTTTTTTTAACAAGCCATAATAATAGGGAAACGCCCCAAGACACGTACAATGACATTTCTGAGCATGGGTTTCAATGCAATTTTATTCCTGATGATGCACCCTAAATCTACTAAAAGTTTGTCACAACATTTATGGCACTCCCTGTTATATACGTTTTCAAATTTGTACATTTCAACAAAAATATTTTTAAAAATTTCAGCTTGTAGAAAGAAACCAATTGTAGATTCAAAACCAGCTATACAAAAGTTTAAAGTATTTAAGATCTGTTAAAAAATCCTAAGCAACAGAAAACAACAACAAAATTTTCCCAGTGATATCCCTGACTATCGAAAATTAGTACACTATCATATTTTAAAATGCGGATGTGTGGAAAGACTGTGTTTATCTCATCCCTTCCTTTTGTACAGAACTTTCCAGCTGATGTTGAGCACTTCACTAATAAATCTACATACAACATTGAAATTTGTAACCTTCCTGTATTAATTATATTATATTTAAAATTTTATAGAAAACTTATTTTATATTATCTATAAACTGAATTTTAATTTTATATCAAAACTTCAATCATTTGATATATTAAATTCTCTGGAATAAGGTATTAACCCATCATACTGGTTAATAGAAAGCATACTGTATATATTATTACTTAAAGAATAAATAAATAAAAATAAAAGAAACAGCAATGAAATTACAATAATAAAATAATAAATTTATGACTATTCATCAAATTTTTAAGAAATTAAATTTTAAGAAGAACAGTAATAAAAGATTAAAAAAAATAACACCAATTAGCTTATAATGCAGAAGTACCCAAAGATATCAGGGTGCGTAGCCAGATTTTTTAACAAAAAATAAGCCCCTTTGAAGTACTTTTTAAGCACTCAAAAGATATTTTGAATCACTTTCCAAAAAAAAAATTTAATCAGAACCTGTGCAGTAATAAAAATTATTTTTTTCTATCGCTTAAAGTTCTTTATTTATAAAACATAAAATCAGTCAAATTTAGAAACATTTTCAAAACTTCACTTAATCGTGATAAAATAATTAGTTTCAGATAAATATAGCAAAGAAAATTGTGAAAATAATGCATTTTTTGTAATTTAGAACGACAATCAATAAGGTAAGGAAAAAATCTCTTTTAAAAGATAAGGAAATTAAGCACTTTTTACAAACCCCGAATAAAAAAAAGCACCTTTAAGGGCTTTTGTAAAATGAAAATCAAAAATAAGCACTTTTTAAAAAACGCTACGCACCCTGGTCAAAATGAAAATCAAAATTGTAAAAACATTTTCACGGACATTTCCTTTCAACTTGACTTTTTCCTCCTTCATCATATTCTTGCTTAGTAATCCACATTTGCTGAAAAGTTCCAAGAGAAGCCAGAATAGAGCCACCAATCCACGAACTAAATCTCCGTTCAGCCGCATTATTAGAACTGATCACCTTTAACCTCATGCTGGGGGGAGTTTTGGCAGACAAGTCACGGTTGAGACGTTCGGTAAAACCCTGGATAAGAGTATTACCACCCGTCAGGATTACACCACCGTAAAGACTGGGACGTACATCAATGTCACACATGCCCACACTTGTTGTCACCACTTGCGCAGCACCAATTGCAGTTCCTGTAATACCTTTTATATTCGTCGGGTCAAAAAGTGCTTCGGGGATTTGAAATCGCTCTGTTCCGAAATCCTGGTTATATCCGTTGGGAAATTCATAATGAGTGGTGGGGAGATTTTCAACCGCTTCTTTCTCATATGGAGTTTCATACACTTGGAGGATAGAGCTCTGAAAATCTTGAAGCACTTCTTTAACCATGTAATTATGCCATGACTTGTTTACATCGGGGAGGGTACTTTTCTTTGTCCATTTAGGTTGATCATTTTCTTTGACCGCTTCTTTGGAACCAATCATATATGTCGGTATGATTTCCATGTGATGTTCTTCAAGATACTGCTTACACTGCATCGAAATGAAGTCACCAGCCAGAGGGGACTTGACGATGGCCTGGGCTAGCACATACCCGTCGTGAACCGGTACGGCTGAAGTCGTACTCGCTCCACTATCAACAACGATTCCAGTTGACCGTCCATTTGCAAAAGCTGCAAGCACAGCATTCTTACTCAAGAAAAAAGCAGGAATGTTGTACTTCTCAAACATAAGTTCGGTCAACTTTTCTCGTTTTGAACGTGCATTCCACGAAGTCTCAGACATTAGCACAGGATGCAAATGTGGTTCAGATTTAATGTGCTTGCTGTACACATAATCTAAAACTCTTTCGAACAAATCCCAGTCTTCGACCATGCCGTCTTTCAAAAATGAAACCATTTCCATACCTTTACGTGGGACATGAATACTAGTAGTGTCTATATAATACTTTTTCTGAGAGGCACTTTCACTTGATGTATTATTTCCATTGACTTCCATAGCATCTGAAACATTCTCTTCCAATACTCCACACATAGTTGGTATGTCAGCTTTAGGTGTGTCTTCCCCAGCATATCCAGCACGTATGGAATAGTGGCCAAAATCGAACACTAGGGCTCCTACCTCATCGCCACCATAAACACCTCCACTCATTTTGAAGAGAAGTAGTAAATTTTGGTATCAGATGAAAAATTCAGATGTACACCATTAGTTCTGAAAGATTATTAAAAATTAGAAATTAGTTGAAAAATTTTAAACTGTTAATACATATAAAGCAGAGTGAGAAAAAAAATTACATCAAATGCTTCATTTGGAAAATTGAATTAAACATATCAATCAGCTTCAAGTGACCCCTGTTACAGAATTTTTTCGGGCATTCTGCAACAAAACTCTTTAGCACTAATATCTTACAGCAATGTAGGTAGGTACTTTATTTGCGTCGCACTAGAGTAGCACAATGGGCTATTGGCGACAGTTTGGGAAACATCCTTGAAGATGATCCAAAGATATGCCATCGTAATTTTGACTCTCTGCACAGGGGATGGTTTCCCTACTTTGATAGCCCAACAACCTACGTGCGGAGTCAAGCACTTCACGGCAGAACAAGGACCGATACTTTCAATAATAACAAAGATGTATGCAACTGATTTAAAGTAACAAAAACAATGTGTCTACAAAAAAAACCAGTTATTTTCATTGAATATGTAATATTTTCTTATTCTAATATTATGGGCGATATTCTCGCATTTTGTTGTGGAATTATTTCCTTTCTCACATTTTGTAAATCACATATTAAAAAAAATAATTAAAAATCAAGAAATCCTTAGCAGTAATTACCGAAAAGCAGATCGACGACAAAATCACGCAAATCGGACTCTTCAAAAAGAGGTTACTCGTATACGTGTTTCGTTTCAAGATTTGGTTGTTGTAATAAATAATATTGGATTTTAAAAACTATATGCAAATTAAAAATCATGCAAATCGGACTCCTCAAAAAAAGATTACGCATATATGCGTTTCGTTTCAAGATTTGATTGTTGTAATAAATAATATTGGATTTTAAAAACTTTATGGAAATGAAAAGCAATAATTGCCAAAAAAATACAATAGAATCATTGACTTAAAAAGTAAATACTCGAATGCAAGATTGGAATTTCCCGAATCATCTGAAATACATAGGGGTAATTAGTGTGTAGAAAATGAAGTTGAACATATAAGGGCTTCCTACAGCTTAGGGCTTCACTATGCGTAAATTCGACCTTGATACCCTCTCATATAAATGTAAACATATACAGATGAGTTGAATCTTTTTTTTTTAATGTAAAAGTAATGATACTACAAAAAAAATTTATGGCATAACAGATTATTTATATTAACTAACATTTATTATGAAATGGAAAAACTGGCATTAGTATACAGTATAGAATACAGTATACAGTATACTAAGAAACAGTATAGATTCAGCAAGATCTCCTTTGATTGAGGACCGTATATCTGATTTGATAGACTTTATAGCTGAGAATAGTCTTTTTCAAACTAGCTAGAGTAGTGGATGAGCTGTTTAATCAAGTGTGAAATTGCTAATCTGAATCTGTTGCTTTTAATGAAGTGACATGTAATTTTCAAAAGCTTATGTGTGATTGCTTTTTGGCTAAAATATAATTATAAACTAATTAATGTGAGTAAATTTCAAGTCAAGTTATGATGTCTCTAAAAAATACTTCAATACACATCATCGTTTCCATGTTCAGATAGTTTTAAAAATTATTTAAAAAATGGAAGCATAGAACAAGATAAGGTCAAAAGTTTCTGTTTAATAATCTCAGTAATTATGCTTTTGATTGTAGTAAGCATCCCCTCACTCTCAGTTATACTTGCTACAGTCAAAAACCATAATTAGGTATGAGGTGTTTTTCTGAATTTTATTTTTCATCTTATTTTCGGAATTTTTTTCAGTTTTCTGCAAAAGCAAATTATTATTGTATAAATGCAGTTTTTTATTGATTCTATTACTTTTAAAATACGCTTAAGCAAAAAAGAATAGTTTAAAAATATTCAAAATTCATTTAAAATTTAATCACTGTATATTATTTTACAAGGTTAATTGTGACACAAAGTGAAAAACTCTGAAAATTTTATATGCAAAACATCGATATCAATAAATCAATTTATAAACCAACTATGTTTCACATTCAACATAATTTTTGGAACTAACATTTATAATAAAATTGCTTGCTAATAAATAATATCACACCTTTAGAATAACTAATTCAAGAAAAATCTTACTTCTCACAAAAATTGCAATATTGGATTTTAAAAATGCGAAAATACAAAATTGAGATATTAAAATGTTAAATCGCCTAAATACATAATCCATAAATTTTAGATAACATGAACACATATTCTGCAGTATGTATATCACGTATTACAAAAAACTATGTTAGATATGAAAAACGTGTGAACATGAATCACGATAATCGCAGATTCCGGCACAATCAAAATGTCCATAAAACCAGCAGAATCAAATAGGACAAAGAATCATGTGTATGTAAATGTCTCGATAACAGGATTTAAATCGCAGAAGTCTATGAACCAGTGATCTTCATATATGCTGAATTTTAAGAATATTTGCAGAAAAATCACAGACCCTGCTTCTAGTTTTTAGATCCGGAATAATGGTACGAAAAACCTGGAATTCGGAATTCAATCAACTCTGTTTTTTCTAATGCTGCATTATAAACATATTGATACACTTAAAACTTCATTATGCTAAGAAATATGACCAAAAAAAGTATCCTTTTTATTAGTGATCATTAAATCATTTGTATTAGAAGAATATGCAGAAAATTGTTAGAGCCTATTATTTGATTAGAATACGGATTTCTAATTCTGCAATTTCTCCCAAAATTATTAAAGCAATTTGAAATACAATAGTATTTTCGAAAAAATCAAATGCACATTTATTAACATAAATTGTATATTTCTTAGTATTAATAAGAGCCTATTTAACGCTTGTGCATTTGAAGGAAAAAAGACACTTTATGTTGAATTTTAAATGGATTACATGAAAAACGACTTGTATACAACAAATGTACAAAAAAATGGAAAAGATTGACAGCTTTCACAATAAATTCCACTGAAGCATAAAAAAGAACTTTAGTAAATATAACTTGTTCGTAAAATAAATAGAGTAGCAAATATGGCACGCATATTTTAAGCGCTAAAAGTTACATAAGTCATTCATTTCTCTGTCTTAAGTTGGTTGCATATTACAGAAAAACATGTAATTAAAAACAGATAAATTTGCTTTAAAGCATTTAAATAAATAAAGAATTCGTTTACGTCAACAATATATACATTTTTAAACCAAATTTGAGTCAATATTACTGCAAAAAAAATAATAAACAAATATCTTACATACCGGCGCTTAACACAAAAATCAACAACCATTGATACCAAAACAGTTAACAGTTAAAAAAGGAAACTGGAGGGTCATCTTAAAAAATTGCAACTCAACTCAAGCTCCTTATCTCCAGATTTAAGATTTAATGTCCAGGAAATGTAGGTCTTATTTTTGCGGTGGCAACAAAATCCCGACTTTAAAGTTCACCTTATTTTTGTGGTTTGTAATGTGTCTACCACTACAGAAATACGATTCCAATTCACTAGTATATAAGACATGTTAACTCAATTCTTTATACCTTTTCATTGATGAAGGTTGGCATTGTCGAAAACAACTCTCCCCCCATTGGTGACCTTCGGACGCGATGCGAACACGCCTACCGAACCACCTATTCAGAAACTCCCACTTCAATTTGAACTTGCCTACTTAGATGGATGATCCACATTGACTTTCTACTTGTGACTGCGACATAATCCACTTCCTCAAGCTGTTGCTACTCGGTCTCGATCACACACAACGTATACACTCGACTGCTAAAGACAATACAGGAGCAACCATGACTATGAACTTAAAACAGCTCTCACGATCAGCACTCAAAAGTGCGGTGATCTTACTACAGCTAACCCGGTCTCGCAAACACGGCAATAAATCAACCAGTGGTATCCGTTTATCGAACTCTGTCACAACTATAATTCTGGTGGGGGAGTAGTATAGTGTATCTACCACTACAAAAATACAATTCCTATTCACTAGTATATAAGACGTACTATCTCGATTCCATGTTGGGGTACATTTTTATAGATGAAGGTTGATATTGTCGATATTTACTCTCCCCACAGGTTCATCTTATAGTTACGGTTCCCAGCAGATCACCGAAGTCAAGCATCACTGGCTGCGGTCAGTGTGCGGGTGGGTGACCACTTGGATCAGCCTGCGTAGGGACCATGGGTGTGCGGTATTGGTCCTCGTTAAACTGTTCTACCGTAAAGTGCTCGACTTCGCGCGCAGGACGTCGGACTACTGAAGCGGGGGAGCCATCCCCTCCGCAGAGGATCAAAATTGTGATGGAATGTCTTCGGATCATCCTCAGGGATGTTTCCCAGACCGTCGCCAATAGCCCATTGTGCAGCTCTAGTGCGACGTAAATGAACAACAACAACATCATCTTATAGTTGCCGTAAAAAAATATTTTATAACCATATTTTATAGTAAGTCTACAGTTGTAATAGTTCTGATATAGAATATAATAAAATATAAAAATGGATAATAAATTGTACTTGTACTCAACAAAACTTTTACTTAATAAAACTTTTTACTTAATATAGAAATATGCTTCAACGTAGTTTATCACATATAAATGATTAATTTGAAGATTTAATTTTACAATTCTAAACTACTAACGTCCCGCAGTGGACTGATCGTAAAGACACGGTTCGCAGTTGAACATTGAAGTCAAACCTCACCGACTGCTGTCAGTAAGCGGGTGGGTGATGACTGTGATCAGAATGCGTAAGGACCAAGGGTGCGCTGTATCGGTTCTCGTTAAACTGTTCAACCATAAAATGTTAGACTTCGAGCTCAGGTCTTCGGGTTACCAAAGCTGGGGAGCCATCCACTCTGCGAAGGATCGAAAATGCGATGGCACGCCTTCGGATCATCCTCATGGATGTTTCCCTGACCGTCACCAATATAGCAAATTGCGCAGCTCTAGCGCGAAATTGAAAGTATCTAATCAAATATGGGGTATTCTGTGATTGCTACTTTTAATACAGGCTAGGGTGTTATTACAATATAGATTTCTAGAATCTTAGCCGAAACTATTGTAGAAGAAACTATAGACAGAGGCCGCATTAAACTTTATGCATGTAAGTTAAACAAGAAAAAAAATATCTGTGAAATCTAGCGAATCACGATTAGGGAAGCTGGAATGCAAACAATGAGGCATGTTTGATTTTCTTGTGAAACAAAAAGAAATAGAAAGGAGATCGGTAGAATTATATCTAAGTATAATTGAGCAATCAATCCGGCTTTGCCCTCCCTCCTTCTTTTCTAGTGATTCGATAGTTCTCACTGTCTTTCTGTTACTTCCTCGTTAAAATATTAGCCTGCGACCTCTTATTTGCGTACTATTTAGATTAAATTCTTAATGAAGATTAAATTTTTTTAATTTAGAATGGGGAAGCGGAACATTCTGTTACACAGTTTAAAAATGTTTGTGGCACCTGAAGGTCGCAATTTAATTAAAAACTTCATATTTGGCGTCGCAAATAAATATCTCAGTCAGAATTTTATCAAAATCTTAGGAATTAGTGTTCAGGATAATTACAGCACGCAGCATAAAGGGATTTAAAATTAATAATAAAAATAATAATATCCAGTTATTCTAATTAATCTAGCAATCCAATAATCATCTTATACAAACATAGTCTATGTCATGCAAACTGGTTTTTCATGATTTAAATTACATACATGCTATACGTGACTTTGAAATTCAATCATCAGATTTTTATAACGTTCTTGTTTTGCTTTTTTTTCCTCGTTTAAGCATAGGCGTAATAAGCATATAATTTTTCAGCAATTTTTTTACAACCGAAAAAAAAAATTTATTAAAAAGTTTTGATGGTTTTTAAAGAATTATAAATAATTTCACGATTGTCACATTCATATAAGTGATATTGTAGAAACCATGTAAAGATTTTTTTTTTAAAATTAATTATTCAAATACAATTATTCTCCGAAACAAAACAAAATGTAAGGAAAATTGGTAATTTTTAACTACAATTGAAAGTTCGTAGGAACCTCTCAAAAACTATGTCTGCTACTATGGCAAGTGATAGATTCGTACATGCAGCGTGAATATTTCTTACTTGTCATAACTTTCAACATAGAGTAATAATTTTCGTAACTGCTTTTTCTTTCTGACAAAGATTTAACAGTATAATTAAATTTCGTTTCATAGTATTCAAATTGTGTAAGGAACCGGCTGCATATTTGGGAATTCAAACTTTATTTTCTAATTTGTTTGAATCATTAATTTCTAGGGAAAGGACCTACAAAGTGGGGAAAGGAAATACGTGCCATACACTTTTTTTTTTTCAAAATTTCAGAATTTTTTTTTTTAAAGTTCTTTCCTTAAAACCTTAAAATGATTGTTTTTATGCATTGTAAATTTAAATGATTTATACGTATTTTCTTAGCGAAATAAAAGTTTAAATTTAACGAAACAAGAAAATTTAAGTATTATTGTTCATCATTGTTGTTGTTCTTGTTGTTCATTTACGTCGCTCTAGAGCTGCGCAATGGGCTATTGGCGACGGTCTGGGAAACATCCCTGAGGACATGCCATCACAATTTTGATCCTCTGCAGAGGGGGTGGCACCCCCGCTTCGGTAGCCCGACGATCTGCACGTGAAGTTGAGCACTTTTCGGTAGAACAGTTTAACGAGGACTGGTACTGCGCACCCTCGGTCCCTACGCAGACTGATCCAAGTGGTCACCCACCCGCACACTGACCGCAGCCAGTGATGCTTGACTTCGGTAATCTGATGAGAACCGTGTCTTAACGATCAGTCCACTGCGGGACTGTTAATTATTGTATTTAAATGTTGTTATATTTATTTAGTTTATAATTGAAGTTAATAGTTATTTATGAAAGATAAATTTTCTTTCAATCAATTGAAATAAAATTTATATTTAAAGATAATTATCTTTATTTTTCATTAATATAGAGAGTCTTTAAACATACCCGAATTTTTATTAACCTTGGCACTTTTAACCTATATTAACCAAGGCAGCTAAAAACGCTAACCCTAAGCACACCCTTGTGTGGATGTATTTCTTTGCTGTTCTTGAATTCATGCTATCCTTCACAAGAGCAAACAGTGACGTACTCACAGCGAGGCATAACACTGTGACATGATGATGATCCGAAAACAAACATCCATGATGATGATCCGAAAACATGCCATTGCAATTTGATCCTCTGCAGAAGGGATGGCTCCCCTGCTTTGGTTGCCCGATGACCTTCGCAAGAAGTCATGCACTTTACGGTAGAGCAGTTTAACGAGGAAAGATATCGTGCACCCTCGGTTCCTACGCAGGCTGATCAAAGAGGTTACCCACTCGATTATTGACCACAGCCAGTTATAAAACCCTGTTTCCACTAGCTCGGCACTCGCAAATCGATGCTCTACTGACAAAACTTGACAAAAACTGACAGTCCACTTGACAAAAACGTAAACACAATCCCGTTTTGAGTAGTGTAAGCTGTAAGCATCTTTAACTATAGGCACAAGCATGGGATATAGCTATCTCACACCTAACAAGCCTTGTTTATTTAAAATTGCAATTTTTCCCATTTGTCTTTAAATTTTCGTTATTTTTCTATCGTAAATAAATCTACATTGCTATGGGGAGTAAAAAACACAAAAAGCATCACAAATCAGATAAGAAAGATCTATTAGAAGGTAACTGATAATACTAAAATATCTTTTGATTCTCTCGCAAATGTCTATTCATCTGCTCTACAAATTTCAAATTATTTTCTTTTATTATTACGTGATTAAAAGTAATCTTCGGTTAATTATTATTCTAAATAACTATAACGAGGTGTTAAGTTCTAATAATATTTCAAAATTTTTTTATTTCAGTCGTTGATTTTTAAATCATACAGGGAACAAAGCTTTCTTAAAAGCAAAACTTAATATTTTAATTTTAGAAGTAAGCAGGTTTATATGCATAATTAAAAGTATATATAATAGAGCTATATCGGCATATTTTTCTTACCACTTTAGGCAGTAAGTTTGATAAGTGTTAAAGAAAGCTGTCTTGTTTGCTATTATTAAATTTGGTTAAAATGATTATAGTATAGGACCATTATATATCAATAAATTTAGGATTATATTTATCTAGTATTGTTATGTTAAAATATTTTCAGCCTATACAAAGAAATTCATGCAGTACCTAAAGTTAATTTGATTTGTCAAACCATGTCTTTGTGTAGTTTTATTTTCTGAAATTTTACCTACTATAAAGAATTTGCCATAAACTTGGAATTGTTTTGCTTATTAATAATCAAATTTATACATTCTGTGTCAGTTATTACAGTGAATTCTCTTAAGAGAAACCTCTCTCTGTTCTACAATAAAATGGTTGTTAATGAAGGTTGTTCATTCTTGGTGCGGAGAAGCCACATGTGTTTGCGTCATGAATACCAGATAAGCAATTAAAATTTAGGGTCAATAAAAATAACCCCTACTGATTAAATTATGTGTAAAAACAAATTCAGCAATTATAAATGATAGAGCTATTTTAAATAAATAAATATTTATGTTTTTGTTTAAATTTGCATTTCATCATAAAAATTAGTTGAAAAATGGGAATATGTTTGTTTGAGATGCTTGGTTTTTCCTAAAATAACTTTTTTTTTTGAACTAATTTAACTTTCAACTTCAAAAGTAAATCATTGATAGCATTATCTAGCTGCAACATGAGATTTTCCATATCTGTTAGAGATCCTGAAAAAAAGTTTTCTCTAAAGAGCCAACTCAGAAATATTTTGAAGACAGTTGGATCAACTTATTTGTTTTGTTAATATTATTTATTTTCATATTTTTTCGTGTTTTCTTATTGGACCTTTTCCGCATTTTGTGCAAAGACTTGCCAGGTCCTTCGACAAGGTTTTAATGATCTCTCCTGAAGATCTTATTTGACGCAAAGTCTATGGAAAAAATTTTGTGTCTCCTGAAATTGATCGTAAATAGAGGATGTCTCTATACATGGGTGGTCTTTCTTGCAGGTTTCACTGTACTAATAAAATTAATGAGGAAGGAAAAATATAACACAAAATACAGCTCCCTAGTGTTCACCTTTATTCCACTGTTAACCTTTACTGTAGCCTTTATTTATGGTAACAAAGCAGTACATTGGTATCTTTTATATTTTCTAAATTTATCAACAGATGGCCACACAAATTATAAATGGAAAAATAGCTTCCCATTGGCATTTAAAAACTAAAAACAAGTAAGAAAACTTCTCATGGCCATAAAAAAGGTTAAACACAGTTCATTTAATGAGAAAGGAAAAATATAACACATAAGAAAAAACAGCTCCCTAGTGTTCACCTTTATTCCACTGTTAACCTTTACTGTAGCCTTTATTTATGGTAACAAAGCAGTACATTGGTATCTTTTATATTTTCTAAATTTATCATCTGATGGCCACACAAATTATAAATGAAAAAATAGCTTCCCATTGGCATTTAAAAACTAAAAACAAGTAAGAAAACTTCTCATGGCCATAAAAAAGGTTGAACACAGTTCATTTCAGTTAAGTTTCTTCATTTCAGTTCAAGTTATAGTTAAGTTTCTTTGTATGTGAAATCATTTTGTAAATTTAATTTTATCAAGAATAATCCTTGGTACAAGTTTTGGGCAATTTTATTGATTTTTCAATGAATTTTTAGAAGCAAAAAGATTGAATGTGAATAACATTGCATTTGATCTAGATTGGTATAATGTAAAATGTGATAGATAACATTTTTAAATTGATTTCTTTACATAGTTAGTTTATCAAAATTTGCTTTAAAAAAAAGATCATTGCTATTTTTTATTATTTCTTGATTTCAGTCCACATACGAGCAAATATCAAACTAACTTAACCATTAAATATTGGAAAATAAATAAAGAAGAAAGAACATATACCCAAAGATAATTCAATGAAAGAAATTAGTATTGTATCTATAAGTAAGACAAATTGCACAATTAAATATATTGAAGTAAAATTTATTTCGAATTTTTTAAAAATAGTTTTAGTTGAACATTTATTTAATTGGATTTAAATATTTATAATCATATTTAATGTTAATAAAAATGAATAAGTCTTAGTCTTAAAAATCATTATTTCTATTAAGGTTATTCTTTTATTAACAAATTTTCAAGAATATTTAACAAATTGCAAGAATTGATTCCTATGTTGGAACTAGCAGTGTGTTGAACCAAATTCGATGGCTAAAAATTTCCAATCTCAATCGGCAAAGTTTAATAAATGTTATCAATGTTTGAAGAGTTAAAGCTTAAGAATCATTTATATGACGTAAATAATATTTATAATTAAATATACTGACTGGGTTAAACATAAGGCTATTAATATGGCATATTTAATTGCATTTATTATCATTAGCAGAGATGATTGTGCTCTGGAAAAAATCCGGATTTCCTCATTTTTTACTAACCCCAATGCGGAAGTTTCTGAAAACCCAAGGTCCAGAAGTTTCTAGAAATTAGCGATCGCATTTATGTATAAAAATTCTTTAATATTTTATTTAAAAATATTCGAACTAGAATTTATACTTGGCATCTCTTTAATTTGTAAATATTTTTTCTGGTAGAATAATAAATGTGATTAGAGATAAAAGTAAACTTTTACATAATTATTCATTTAAATTATGCTGCATGTAATTTATTTAGAATTTCATGTTGTGAAAATATCAATGATTTATATTTATAAAGACATTAATTTTTTGAAATGCGTGATTAATGATTTTACTCAAGAAATTTTCAGAATTTTTGAGTTGAGTATTAGGAATCAAAGGAAGAAATAAAGATTGAATTTTTCCTTTTTAAATTCATTATTGCTTTGTTAATTTTAAAAGCTTATACCACAGAAATTAATAATCAATGTAATAATGTGTAAAAATGTTTTTTTTTTGTTGTTGTTGTCAGATTGATAGGAGAAACCTTTGAAATATATTATTGAAACATATTTTTATTTTATTTTTATTTATTCATTGCTTTGTATACCTGCCAAGTCTCCTGTTTTTTAACGAAAACTCCTGTATTTTACGACTATCTCCTATTTACCTGTATATTCTCAACAGGGTGCATAGCGTTTTTAAAAAGTGCTTAAAGGTGCTTCTTTTCGATTTTCATTTTTTAGAAGCTAGTAAAGGTGCTTTTTTCATTGGGTGTTTTTAAAAAGTACTTAATTTTCCCTTTTTCAATATGAGATTTTCCCTTTACCATGTTGATTTTCGCTTTGAATTATGCAAAAAGGCATAGTTCACATTGTTCTATTCAACGTTTTCACTATTCAANTAAAGGTGCTTTTTTCATTGGGTGTTTTTAAAAAAGTACTTAATTTTCCCTTTTTCAATATGAGATTTTCCCTTTACCATGTTGATTTTCGCTTTGAATTATGCAAAAAGACATAGTTCACATTGTTCTATTCAACGCTTTCACTATTCAACCCCAATCTATTTCGGCATATTGTCAGTCCGTAGCGTCTGAAAATGACATTCGTTTTACATGCTTCAAAATTTCAAAACAATGATTAAAAAACATAGCCAAAGGTTTTTTTTTGTGGCATGACGATTAAAGCAAGATAAAACTGTCAATTGTCAAAGGCTTTCCAACCCTGTCTAATTATGATATTTTTTTTTAAAGTGCTTGAAAATATTTTTTGAGTGCTTGAAAAGTGCTTAAAAGGTGCTTATTTTTTGTTGAATAATTAGGCTACGCAACCTGCTCAAATTTCTCCGTATTTGTTAAAGAAATTTAACAAAAAAAAATTTGTCGATAAAATATTTGCGTACGGCGAAAATACTTTGCTTATTCCTCAACAGATAGTGCTATTGCCAGTACTGCAGTATGTTGAGTGTTTATAGTTTAAGTAATTATAAATAATGATTTGAAAAAATCTTTAGATAAAAATTTATTATACATATTTTTTACTTTGCTGAATGTCAGTGCCTATATTATTTCCATTTTTAAATTTCTCCTTTTGACTTGCATGATGTATCAAAATTGTACTCGTAGCCTAAAAACTGTCTCTAGTAAAATCTCAATTGTTGACAGGTGTGCTTTGTTAACTTTAAAATTTTGTACTACAGAAATTGACAATCACTGTAATTATGAGTAAATTTTTTTTTATTAGATCGCCAGGAGAAACCTTTGAAGCTGGTACTGAAAGTGGGTGGAAGTGTTCAATCACCAGTTCATGCATCCAGTTCAAACTCATCTTCTGCTCAAATACCTCGACCACCAGCAGATGTTAAGCCAGTATTCGAGGAGCCGAAATCAGTTGAAAAAACTCCCAGTCACTCTCATGAGAAGCATAAAAAATCTAAAAAAAAGAAAAAGAAGAAGTCCACTGACAAAGACAAAGAAAGGCATGAACGGAAAAGAAAACATCATCACCACCACCATCATCATCGAGAGCATTCTCACGATCGAAAGGTTTGTTTATTTTACTCTACATCAGAGGTTCTCAAAGTGGACGGTGGTGAACTTTTAGCAAGATGGTGGATATTCAGGGGTCTGTCCAAGCCAAATTTACTACCGTTTAGAGGTACCTTCACAAATTCAACTTTAGGAGCAACGGTAGTTTTAGAAGATACTTTTTCTTAAAATTTTATTTTCGTATCCCTTAAGAAACGATAAATCCATATTTTTGTGTTGATTTTTTTTAATATAATTTTTAATTTTTCACAAATTATGTTTAAATTTTCACAAAATAGGTACCTCTCAGAAAAAGTTAGACAGACCCCTGATATTTTAAGAGTGTGAGGGAGTTATTTCTCGATGGCTGGGTCATGAACAAATTATGGATTAAATTGCTATTGGGTACTGAGTAAGATTTGCACATTTTTTGTTTTGGCATTGAAGAATTATTTACAAATTTAATTTTTTTATATTAATTAAATTTTTTATGTTCATTTTAAATTTATTAATTTTTAAATGCATTATTTCTTTCTTACTTTTGATACATCTACTAGTTCTGATATTTTAAGTTGAACTGCTTTCGTTATTTTTCCATAGTCCCTTGGAAAACCATTGATTAAGGTTCTACTGTATTGTATTTTGAAATACGAACATTAAGGTAATATGTATAAGGATCATAAGGAATTTACATTGAGTAGAGGCATAGTTGCTGAAGTAATTAGTTAAAATATGTAAATAAATAACACTTATTTGTAACCAATTGGTTAAAATGTGTGAAATGTTTTATAAATCAATTGTTTACCTTTTGAAGGAGAAGCGTCGAAAAGAGCAAGACCGTGTCCTGACTGATACACATGAGGACTCTTTACCAATGCGGGTTGATCCCCACCCGATTATGCCAGAAAAAGCACTTAGAGATGCCAGAACTTGTACGTTAAAGAAAAAGGCTATGAAAAGCCCTTTGCAAGTACTTTTGTATTACCTGCTCAAGAAATTACAACTGTAGGTGATATTTCTTTTGTAATATGTAAAATTGATATTATTATTACTTTTCGATAATATCCTTTTTTTTATTTCAGGAAAGACCCCCAAGAATTTTTTCAGTGGCCTGTTACAGATGTCATTGCACCAGGGTATTCCAGTATTATATCAAACCCTATCGATTTCAGCACCATTAATAGAAAAATTGACAACCGGGATTACAAATCAGTTGCAGAGTTTAAAGTAATAACTATTGTATTTGTTATGAATCAACTTTTGTCTTATAATTTGTTTTTCTCTTTAATTTGCAAATGTTTCACAAAAATAATTTAATAATTTTAAGATTGATAGTGTTTTAAGTTAGAAAAAATTGTATTGTCCTAGTCAATAATTTTCTTAAACCCATTTCTTTGTCCGATAAAACTTAGTGCTGAAAAATTCCTTTGGAATTGCTATGGCAGTTCAAGTCAAAGTTTGAGGTAAATCGACAACTAAAACACTTTTGTCACCCCTCATCCAGGACTGAACAATTTAAATTAAAACCAGCCCTTATATGTTGTAAATGTCTTTGAAGCCATTTTGCTATATTTCAACCGAGGGGGCTGGTTGTTGGCTCTATTCCCATTTCTGACACCAAACGTTTCTTTCATTCTATTTCATCCCCTCTTTGACTGCAAACTAGGAAAATACTGGGAATTTCGTTTCTTATTTTCGTCTTTGAAAAAATGGTAACCACTCAAAGTGATATTTAAGGAAGATATATTAAACTATACGCCCGGTGGCTGAGCGGTAGCGCTGTCGTGCCACAGGTCCCTGGTTCGATCCTCGGGCCGGGCAAGGTTGACTCAGCCTTTCATCCCTTCAGTGGGTTGATAGATGAGTACCAAGCATGCTTGGGAACTAAACACTGGGGGTTCCGCGTTCGGCTGACCACCTGACCGGAACATCTGCTCCAGCACCCCAGAGCCCAAGGTCAAGAAAACTGAGATGGACACAGTAGTCCTTCGCCCTCAAGGGCTGTCGCGCTGCTGAGTTTAGTTTTATATTAAACTATTTCATTTAGTATAGCATTATTTGTTTTAAGTATGTTCAGCTGTTCCTTTTTTCTCTAAGCTTTTTCAGTAACTCGATACAGCTCAGTACAGTAATTGTGTTTTAACTCTTAATATATTGTGTATAATATGTATAGGGAAAACACAGGGAATTTTTTTTTCTCCAGATTTGAGTGGCTACCCTGTCATTACATTAATATAGAATCAATATAATTTGTTACAATGATTTCATTCATACAGCCTATTGAGTATGTGTCTCAGTTAATGCACAAGCGGTGTTGCATAATGCATACCTGCCAAGTCTCCTGTTTTTTAATGAAGACTCATGTATTTTTTGACTATCTCCTGTTTACCAGTATATTCTCATATTTCTCCGTATTTTTTGAAGAAATTTAAGGAAAATTTTTTTTCGATAAAATACCCGCTAATGGCAAAAATACTTCTCTTATTCCTCAACAGATTTTGCTTTCGTCAGTACTGCAGTATGTTGAGAATTTGTAGTTTCATTAATTATAAATATTTCAAAATTTGATTAAGAATTTTAATCATATTCTTTTGGAAATTCTTAAAATGTCAGAGCATTTTTTTTTTTTTGTTCTGTGAAATTAAGTTATTACACCTATTTATTAAAATTAATGTATAATGATTTTGTGCAACCTGCAATTCTCATCACTTATTATTTCCTGGAGATTTCTATAAATTGCTGAGCATTAACGAACTAACTTTTATGTGTAGAACTAATTTTTATAATATTTAAATAAAAGTGTTTTTAATTCAATCTTCGATTCACTTTCAGTCCGATGTAAAGCTCATGTGTGACAATGCAATGATTTACAACCGTTCGGATACAGTATATTTCAAGTCTGCAAAGAGAATGTGGCACGCTGCACAGAAACTCATGAATAGGGTAGGTCATCATTCTTTTATAACCACATTTGGGCTCTTACACTATTTTTGAATGTTATCTATGCAGATTTTTTAAGCATGTAGCTCAATGAACAAAAATTTTTAACAGTTCTAATAATTTTTTTTTAAAAATAAGTCTTAATATCATTTACAGTTACATTAATTTTTACAAAACTTAAAAAAAGTGTAAAAATTAAAAGCTTGCTGTTATGAAAGTTAAGTTGAGTTATGTCAGCAGCATGCAGTTTTTAATTTTTTAAAGAAATTTTAAATTGATGAATTTTTATTTGTAAGCCTTTCAAAATAGAACCGTGGAAAAAATGAAATTTAGTTTTCAATGTCCGCAGTGAATAAAGTTTTCATACTCACCGGCGTAATAAAAACAATCAATTTGTCTTCAATATTTAATTATGTATAATATTTACAAAGTATCTGTATAATATTTAATGCATCATCAGCTCAAAATCGGTGCAATAATCAATGTAATGTCAATCATCAGTGCAGCCAGCTTAGAAATAAATTCCTTTTAATTTGAACTTGGTTTGGTTAAAGAAAATTTCCTTAAATCAAAATTCCAAGTGGTAAAAATAATAATTAATAAGATATAAGATGTTTTAAATCTTTCAATATTTTAAGAAAATTTTCGTTAGCAAAAAAATATTCAAAACAAAATTTTCTCTTTAAAAAAGGAAAATTTTAAATATTGAAAGATTTAATTAGGTTTCAGTGTTAAAATTTTGTATTTTGCCACGTAAAATTATTGCAATTCAAAATTTTTTGGACTGTTATTAAATAAAATAATAAAGAAGAATGAATATTTATTAAAATTTTTTATGTGGAATTACCTCTGAACAAGTAAATTTATATTTGTGTTCAAATTTTTTTAAATTCGCCTGAAAAGTTCTCAGGCTATGGCGAAATGTGCAAAAAGTAAAATTAACATTAAAGGGTCCAAACTTAGAATCGCTTTCTTGACTAAACTATGGGTACCATATTTCCCAGATTGTGGCTACCCCCTATATTTTGGGCATCAGTAATCTGAATCCGTTGAAAAAAAGGTACATTTATTCAGAGGAAGTATATTTTTATGTCTGATTTTGTAACTTAAAATATCATATCCACCAATTAATTAGCATATATAAAGTCACACCCCCAAATCGTTAAGATTGAGATTAGATCAAAAGTTATTCAGGGTGGTCCATTTTTTATTTTGCACACTTTACATATATATACATACATATACAGGGGTCTATTCACACATTTTGTAAAAGGTTCGTTTTTGTAAAATTGTGAAAAAATTACTCGTTATTTGTGAATATAAAATAAAAGTAAGTCTCATTCTTTCAACCAGGGTCCTGCTTTTATGAATTTGTGCAAAAAAATTTTCAAGGAGTTTTTAAATTGTAAAGAGATACGAGATTATGCTCAGCACTGTAAAATTAAAATTTTAAAAAATTAAATTTTCAAAAATAAGCAGCAATTGCTGCTTCTAAATTAGAGATGCAACATGCAAATATTTGGTATTTAGCCTACACTGGTGAACACAGAATATTCATTTCGTACGAATAATGGAAGAAGCATCTGCCGAAGACAAACTTATCAGCATATTCAATCACCCTTTTGTTTGCACTATTAAAAAAAAAGCTTACCAACTTCTTTTTGTGAAAGGCATTTAATCAATGCATTTCTTCCAGGATCAGTTGACTAGCTTAAAGCGCACGTTCCCATACATGTTGGATTTGAGTACAGATGAACTGGGCTTTGACATTAATGATGAAAATGAAGAATGTATGCCTGGTACTGAAATCACCTCTGAGCCAGGAATTGTTGCTCAACCTGAAGCAAAGAAATCTAAAGTCGCTCCATGGTATGTTTTGAATTAATCTTAAATATTTCGAATTATCTTAATTTCTAATTTTTATCATCATATTTCTGTTAAAGTTTTTTTTTTCCTTTACCTCATATTAATAATATAGCAAGGTTTCAATTATTTTTTCAATAATAATTGAACTTATCTTCTTGTAACTGTTACTTTTCAGTTCATTGTGTTTAAATATATATTTTTTTAAATATATTTATGCAAATTTCAATTTCGAAGTTGGGGAATTTTATTCTTCTATTTGAGTAGCAACCCTAAAGATATTTTATTAAACTAATCTTTTGAACATGTTAAAGTTGGAGTAATACTGAAGCTGAAGATGATGATGATGATATAAGTCCTGAAGAAATTTTACAACAAGCACAGAAAGCAGCTAAGGCAGCAGCTGATCGTTTAACTCTGAAGAGACCCAACTGCAAGGTATAAACAATCATTTTTATCTTTAATGTATTCGGTTTTAGTTTTCTTGCAATCAATTGCTTTTTCTATTTTGTTACGTATATTTCTTTTTAAGTATAAATAATTTCTAAGTATTTAAATATTATGTATTTAAATTTTCTCTTTATTGTGATATAATATATATTTATATCACAATAAAGGGAAAAATGAAGAAAATTATGAATATTAATAAATTTTATTTACTGCACTTAAGCTGCAAGTATATGGAACTCATAAAATGAGTTAAAAGCATGAAGAAAACATGGTAAAAAATTAAAGATTAATAAAAAGAGAAGAAGAAAGAAATTATTAAAATAAAAATATTTTTAAAAAAAATTTAAAAAATAATATTAAAAAGCCCGAAAACAAAAAAAAAATGAGAAGATATCTCTTTATCAATTACATAATTCCAACAAGTTTTTTTATGTAAATTCTTTGTTTAAATTCGCTTTTTTAATTCATTATTCTGAACAAAATCCTTTCCCATAATTATTAAATCATATTTTGTTAAAAAATATATTCAAAAATGCAAACAATGTCATTTTTCGGAAGTAATTGTCATAAAAAAAATTTTGCCAATAAATCAGACAGAAATAGTGACCTCAATCAGGAAAGCGAATTAGAATAAATAATGTTTCTCTTTTTAATAAGTGATGAGGAAAACTTGCTAAGCATTTCCCCAATATAAAGAACGAAGCAACCATCTTTCTATGCGATTGCACCTGTATTTTGATGCCAATAAAATCCTGCCTGTGTGGAAACAAAACACTTGACAGTTTACTTTATGTCACATGCACGGCTTTATTGTTAGAGTTACTCATTGAATTCTAAAAATATATTCTAGCATTTTAAGTATTCATCGTTTCAAGTTTTTCTTTAAAATTAAAAATCGCTTGCATTATTTAACAATGTTTCAATTTAATTAAAAATGTTCCTTTATGTACTATTAAATATCCGGATGCGAAATTCGTATCAACCAGCCATCGCTGGGGTTTGAACCCGGGTCACCTCATTGGCATGCAAACGCTCTATCCACTGAGCCATCAGGGCTCAAATTTAAACCTGGGCGAAATTAGGAATTTTCCCGTATAAACCCAAGTGGGCTAAGTTTCAGCTAACTCTGTTAAAGATGATTTTAAAAGTTGCACCAAATAAGTAGGCCGAGTGAAATCAATTTTATATACTCTGAGCTTCCTTTTCTGAGCAATTAAATAAAACTCTTCTTTTTGTATGGAATTAAGTTTAACAAATTCAGAAATTTATATTGTAGAAATCTTTATAGTAGATTACTCTTTAAGTGGGAGTAATTGAAACTAGCTAGTGATTTATTATTTTTTTAAATTATTCAAAAATTTTTGTGTTTGTTTCAGTTTGGATTCTTGCGCCAAAATGAAAATGGAACTACCACTCTCTCTATAATACATCCAAAAGCAGGTAAATAGTAAGCAAGTGTTTTGATTAAATTAGGTGTGTGAGTTAGTTCGTGTGTGATCTAGTTTGATTATAAGCATGAATAAAAATTACAAAAGCATCGACAAAAATTTAAAATTATTTTACACCTCTGAGTCTCTTTTTAAGCATTTTTAATTTCTTTTAAATTCTAGGTGACAGGGAGATGAAAGTGAACTTGGAAATGTTAACTGGAAAAATCACTCAAGGAACTGGTACAATTGTTGGATTTAAAGAGGATTCGAAAAATATAATTAAGCCTGGTAATATTTCATATTCATGATATTGTGTGTACTTTTGGTTGTAATCAAAAATAATTGTGTATATTTTTTAAAAAAATTCTTGCAAAATTATTTTTTTTTATTAAATAAGAGAAATCCCCCCCCCCTCTCTCTTTCTCCCACCCTGAATTAAGCTTTAGTCTAATTTTATTCATCCTTTTGTTGAATTTGTCCTGCATCTTCAAACTGTTTTTAAATCGCAACTGCTTTTAAAAGCGCTATGAATTTTTCAAATAACAAAACATTTATTTGTTACTCTCATAACTTTATTGTTACTCTCATAGAGCCTGGCTGAGGCAGGGGCATACAGGGCGGTTGCCCCGGGCAATGAACTTTTTTTAAAAACAAAATATAAATACAATGTAAAATCCTTCAGTTTTATGTTAGCTTCTTCATTAATCTATCTTATGAATACAATCTATATTTCGTAAATCCATGGCTTTCTAAGGCGGAATTCAGCTTGATTTTCGCAATTATGATGGACAAATTTGGCCAATCAAAAGCCTATATTTTTATATTTTGCAAAATGCGATATGTTTAAGAAAATACAGGCTATTGATTGGTTTAATTAAACCATCTTAATTGCATAAATTTAGCTGAATTCCGCCCTAATATCAGCAAGGATATGACTTTTTCGCAGCTAGATGACAAAGTTAACAATCAGAAATCTGCATTTGGCATGATGGACATAAAATTGCAGAAAATCAATCAAATGGAAAGAATGATATTTCGTCTGACCATTGGAGGGGCAGGGACTTTATAGCTTTTTTAGTTTCTAGTCAATTTTCTTGTTATCTATAATGAAAAGAAAAATTTTTGTACCTCCATAAAGTTCGGCTCTTCATTAGTAAAATAGTGAAGCAGAGAGGGCCCCCTAAGAAGTTTTTGCCCCAGGCCCCAATTGAGCCAAGTCGGACCCTGCATAAAGTGATTAATTGTACATAGTTATACAGTGGAAAGGGTGTTTTTTAATTTTAAAAGCTGAGTTGTGGCAGCATATTAGTGAAATTGGGGGGGGGGATTTATTGCAAAAGAAAAAAAAAATACTGCCTGGGAATCAACTATGGTTGACAGATTTATTTGGAGAATTTATTGACCTTCTTACCTTATTTAATAAATAATTCTAAAACCAGTTTTCAAACTTTTTCTTTGAGCTTTTTTCTGTTAATTATAAATACAATTTCTTTATTTCTAAGACTAAGGACTAACAAAAATGATAAAATTTAGGAGCCAGGGAAATTTTTTGGAGTTAGCATTATAAATTTACTAAAATATAAAAAAGTAACATCTCATCTCCATATTTGACCATTTAGTGAGATGGATCATATATGTGTCTTTTTGCAGACAAGGAGTTAAATATTCAATTAAAAAATCAAATTCAGCAATAATTTTAAGAAAATAAATCTTTCAAATTCGAATAACTCTAATTTAATTAATCAAATTATGAAATAAACACTAAATTAGTCGATAAATTGATATTTTTTCCTTTAATACTATGACGTCTCTCACCTTTGTGAGATTGTTTTACTTTAGTTTGCTCAGTTAGTCACTCTCAAGGTTAACAAGAACTCTTCATATATATAATAATATTTTAATTTATGATTTTTGAATATCTATATATTTACAATTAAATATCAACCGGTACATAAACTACGTAACATAACAACTCCGAAGATCTATTGCTCCCTACTGCCTCTCTACTCTGTCTCTCTCTCTCTGCACCCATTCTCTCCACATTCAATTTCTATGTATATAATCCTTTTTTTCTCACCAAAAAATGTCTTTCTCTTCTCCTTACTCCACCCCCACTCTGAGGAACGACACTTCCTGTGTCCCTCACCCTCTGACCCTCGGGTCAGGGGTCAATCAAATGCGTGGGAGAGGATTCAGAATCCCGTATTGAATCAGTGTTAATATCTAATAAATATTAATACATTCATTAGATATTGAGTTTTAGTGTTGAAATACTATCGCCAATTTTCCAACAATGAAAAAATTATCAATTTTGACTCTTTTTTCCCCCTTAATGTATCCTCTTGCTTATAATAATTCAAACATAAATATCAGTCGTCTCTAAGGGAATTTTCTAACAGATAGGGCCACCTGGCGCCATGGGCTTGCTGATCCTTGTCTAAGACTATTTATTATTTTTATAAATTTTTATTTTTTTTTTTAATCCTATTGCTCACTCATTTACACTACACTATAATTTAGCATTTTATGATCTAAAGAAGATTCGGATATTGTAATCTTGTAAGAAGAGGTATATTTAAGTCTACTTTTAATTGTTAACGAAACTACTAACATAATTTCGTTATTTCAAGGACTGTATATTAATTTTCACAATTGTTTTTTTTTCCTACTTAGTTCATTATACAAATTATGGACCCTATAGCTCATATGCACCACACTATGATTCAACATTTTCTAATCTGAGTAAAGAGGATTCAGATCTTGTACTCTCAACTTATGGGGATGATTTGGGTTTACAGTATGCTGACAGGTAATGTGTATAAACTTTTCCTTCAATTTTAATGTTTAGCGCTTTCTTAGTTACAAAATTGTATTCTCTGAATTGTAAAATTATTATGATGCCTATTAATTAAAGTAATACTTGGTTGTAAATAAAATTTATTTCATATTAAACTTTCACACATCTACAACTTATCACCCCTAATTTATCTGCATAATTTATCCGTTCCCTCAGTTGTTTAATGTTTAAAGGGATATTATTAAAACATGCTGAACTTCTAATCAAATATGCAGAACTTCTAATGATTCTGAAACAGTGCAAATACTGGATTATGCTGATGATCTGGTAATAATTGTACAGACAAAAAAATCAGTGTTGGAAGTAGTGCCTCTTCAGAAAAGATACATCTAGTTTTTAACAAAGACATGCCAATTATTAAAACACCTGCAAATTTTTAGAAATTCTAAATTCGAACTTGTTGACTATTTCACTTATCTTGGTTCAAATATTAATGCCTTAAACAGCATAGGCACGGAAATAAAGAGACGCATTATAGCAGCCAATCATTGCCTACATGGCTTAGGAACATTTCTAAAGTCAAAATTAATCGAAAGTCAAGCAATAATAATGCTATATAAAATGATCATTAGATTTGTCTTAACTTATAGATCTGGTCTTTAAAACACAGGCAGACCTGCTTGCTGTTTTTGAGAAAAAGACCTTGAGAAAAACTTTCGATGGTATGAATGTGGATGGCTTATGGAGACAAGGACACAATTTTGAACTATGTAGGCTATACAAGGAAGCTGATATCAACAAAACATCAAATTAGTCGTTTAAAGCTTCCATGTCACTGATTGGACGAGGATCTCAAAGTCCTATTTAGTGAAGACTTTGGCCCACAAAGGGCTGTCATGCCCATAGAAGGAGAAGAAGGACTTGTGATTTCTTATTATTAACTTATAAAACATAACTGCCTGCATTGATTTTAAAATGTGTTTACTAGATGTAATAGAGAAGTCTGATTTTAGATTGACGATTGACCTAATTACATTTATAAATGACATCTATTGTCTTACAGGCCGAAGTGAAAAAATGTAAAATATCTTGTTCAAATTTTCAATCGTTAATAAAATACTATTTATTCATCCACTCAAGTTTAAATACATTTTTTAAACTTGTTGTGGATGACACTTGACGTTAATATAGTTTTTTCAAATATTAAATCATTAATTAAGTTCGATTAATTAATTTTAGTTTTATGTGGGAGAAGAATTGTAATTATTTAATAAAAAGGAGCTAAAATAAGATTTTTCTTTGTTGACCTAAGTAGGAATTGTCTTTAAAAAAACTTTTTTTTATATTACTTGTTTTCTGTCTATTTATTAGTCTATTTTGAGCATCAGATAATATTTTACATGCTCCATCTCACTATTTCTCTCTATAAGATCTCCGTTGTTAAAAAAATTGCTGACACTGTTCTTATAAATTGGACTGTAATATTCAACTGAAATCAGAGACTTTTTTTTTTCCAAAAAAAATTTAACAAATTAAATAACTGTTTAAGTCATAACAACCATGCTCATAGACTTACAGTTTTGTAACATAGACGATTTTAAAGTTTTATTATATGTTCAGTTATTCTATAATTTTTTGTGTAAATATATTTTTAATTGAATGGCATTAAGGTGTTATAAAAAGAAATAATTTATTTTCAGCCTGACTAGTTTTGCCAGAGATTCAGATTATGTGATGAACATGGTGGACAATCTTTTGGATACTTTGACGGGTGGAGAACATTCCAGAACAGTTAAGATATTAGAAGAGGTATTTATTATATTATTATTAACTGTTTTAACTCTTTTTTTTTATCAATCTTTAACTTTTATATTTCTTGTTTTAAAAACTTTTTGTTTTCGTTTAATTGAATATATATATTTTTTTGGCATGATCATCATTCAGTTCCTATTTGGTAGTAACTAATGCCACTTGATACATCAAGATTGAAGCAATGGGCACTCAGAGATGCCAACTGCTCCGGACACGCCAAACTAATTTTTAAAAAAAAAAACGGTAAATAACTACAAAGTAAATTTTGCAAATGTTTGACTATTTTTGCTTGCTTTTTAAAAGGTACATAACTACAGTGTAACGTCCCATATCCGGACGTCCTTTTCCCAGAAGGGTCGATTTCCCGGACATTTTTTAACAATCAAAATAAATCTCTCCTTCTTCCTCTTTCCTAAAAAAAAAAGGTCTTTTGATACATTTTCTCTTTTTCTAGCTTGCACTGAACCTCTGATTTATGCATCGAACCCATAAATCACCAGAAAGGGGAAGTGAAGATCTACCAAGACCATTGAGTGACCGTTAGTGACGCTCCTCCCTTGGAATGTAGGAAAAAGAGGGAGATTTGTTTTTCAAAAGACCGCAACTGAGTCCCCCCCCTCCTTTCCCATGCAGGTGGCTAGTAAAAGAGGCATTTCCTGGAACCTTTTTATTGAAAGAAGAAATACTGTGGAAAAGGGTAAATGGGGCAAGCGTTAAGGTGGAGGGGGAGTCAAAATGGAAAATTTGAATAGGTCTAAAAGGATACACGTCCTTGAGAAACAAAACATTCGTTCTTCCCCATACCATGTAACATTTAGGAGGCGGGGGAGAAAAGGGAGTAACATTCTTTCTTTAGCAGATTCTTTCAGTCATGGAAGAAAAAATAAAGAGAACCCGATCAGCGTGCCCCGTCTTTATGCTTGATTGATAGCCAATGATTGGAGAGAAAACAATAATTTGTTACTTCTCCACCCTCAACTTAAATGATCTCTTTTTTACACTTATTTTCTTTCACAAATAAGGAGGAAATGAATTTTTCTGCTCCACCTACTCACCTTAATGAATGACGGGAATTTCCCTTTCTTGCTTGAATCATTCTAGTTAAAAATGGCGGATTATTATTTTCATATGTCAATTTTTTTTCGTTTTCTATATTTTAAGCAATAATATTTTTTTTCTAATATTTCATATTTTATTGATTAGATATTCTAATACTAAAACATTATTCCCCTTAAAAATAATGTTTATTTATTTTTTGCTTCTTAGATTTAGATCATTTTAAGCTTTGTTCCAGAATGACATGAATTTCCCCTTCCTGCTTGAATCGTTCTAGTTCAAAATGGCGGATTAATATTTTCATAACTGTTAAATTTCGGATTCCGGATACGGCCCACCGATTCTGGATACGCGACTTCACTTTACACTGTACTATAAAGTGGTGAATTATATAAGCCTGCAAATTATTTAGAAATAGTGGTGGATAAAAATCTACTAAATTGAATTTATTGAACTAAGAATCACAATTGATAAACTATCACTTTAAAACATATATTTGCTGTCCAGAGCAAGTTGGCATCTCTGGGCACTGAAAGCATTTGAGATTATTTTATTTGCATTTTCATTAACTGCATGAATATCATTTTTATTTTTGTATTATGTCAATTTTGGCGTTATTATTATTTTCTGTTTCTTAGTAACATAAAATAGTTTCTTCCGAATCTTGATATGGATTCAATTATGATTCCTTCCCGAAGTTGAAAATTTAAAAATTGCAAATTTGAAAAGAAAGAAAGTATATTGAGGTACAAATCCAATAATTTTTTGTTGCATTTTTGCAGAAAAGACTGATGAGGGAAGAAGAGGCTGCTTTAACCAGGAAAGTACTCAATGAAAATGAATTAATAAAAACTTCACATGAGCCTGATATAGATTCACTGCAAACCCTGGAAGATATTGATCTTGAGCTCTCACGCTTGGAGCATATTGGTATATTTTTCTCTTTAGCATTTTACTCATTAAAAATATCAAAAGACCTTTTATCACCCAATAGAGAAATCACTCAGACTAAGTAATATAGGTGTTACTGTAATAGTCCAAAGTCTGGTAAAACTTAGAATTTACCAAATTGATTTGGTAAAAGTCTGAAATCTGCCTAGGAATTGCCAAGGCCATCCAATATAAGCTCAAAATATAAAGACTTTTTTTTTAACAATTGCAAAAATTATTTTTAAAAATTATTGAAATCTCTTCGGTAATTATCAATAAAATTATGCATTAGTTTCACATAAGATCTTATTTATGAAGTAGCATAAATATTGCAGTGTTTTTTTTTTGATTTTTTAAAATTCTTTTCATTTTTTGAAAAATAATTGTAAGATAGTTCGTTCTATTGATATAATTTTAAATCATACCTTGTTTTGATCATTTTTTTTAACAATTGCAAAGATTATTTTTAAAAATTATTGAAGTCTCTTCGGTAATTATCAATAAAATTATACCTTAGTTTCACATAAGATCTTTTTTATGAAGTAGCATAAATATTGCAGTGTTTTTTTTTAATTTTATTAAATTCTTTTCATTTTTTGAAAAATAAACGTAAGACAGTTAGTTCCATTGATATAATTTTAAATCATACCTTATTTTGATCACTTCTACAATTATAAAATTAAAGTGTGTTTTGACATTTTTGAGACACTCTAGGACATATAGTACTCTTCCATTATAAAGGGCCATTGGTTTTGTTTTACTCCAACTCAAACACCAAATATAATAATCAATCAATAATAATCGCTGCTTATTATTTAAAAAATCTTATTAATCAAAGGGTGAGACTGCCAGTGCCATGTTTACCTTACATTGATGTTTACAAAACCTGGAAAGTACAGAGAATTTAAAAATTAACAGGGAAAATGCAGGGAATTTTGAGTTTTTCTTTACAAACTGGAAAAATACAGGGAATTTGTATTTGAGCGAGTCTGCCAATCCATGTCCTGAGGGTGTAACCTTGCATTGCTAGCAAGGGTGGAAACAATCTTTATGACATTTATACATAGCATCTACCTCGGCACATGTAATTTCTTTGACTTATCTCTTTGACTTATCAGATGATCTCAGTCTCATATCTCTTTGTTTCATTTACCTTACTGTCATACTACTTACCCATGACGTTTCCGACCATGGGTTGCCATACTATTCTAAATAATTGTGATGTCCCCTGCCTCCCTTTAAAGTTTATCCTAATAATCCTGGGACACCCTGTTTAATTTTTAAATTTTTTCATAAACCATGAAGAGGTCAGGAAAATTTTTCTTAATTTTAGAAATGAATCCTTTAGTGTTTACCATATTTTGAGAGATGCTTAACATTAATAATATCAATTGTTTTTTAATAATACAGAATTTTTAAAAAAGTGGCTATATGTTTAGTTTAAAAACACATTAAACTTTAAAAATTGGCATCTATTAAAAATGTTACTTTTGCCAACTGGCCAGTTACAAAATTTCCTAATTTTGCCTAATACCTGGATCTAAATTGTTTTAACTCATACCATTTGCTGTTACGGCAAACAAATTGCCCTAAATATTTGAACTTGCATTGATTTTAGATGAAAACAAAAAATTGGAGAATACTGAAAGGAATGAGCAGCGTAAGCAACTTTTGTATTTGAGAAAATCCATCCAGCAGAAACTGGACAACACAACTCTGCTTCTGCACGAATTGAAGAAAGCCCAGAATGAGCGACTTAACGCAAACCCGCCGCCTCATTTAGCTCTCATCCGTACGCCCACTGCAGCCGAAAATGAATTAGGTTAGTATTCATATGCATTTTGAGTGATATTTTTCATTTTAAAATAATTTTACTATTTAATTAATTTTTTTCTTTAAGCATTCTTGTACATTTTGCTATTTTAAAAATATCAAACAACATTTCATGCTACGGTGCAATTCTGATGTTCTTGAAGATTTAACTAAATATTTATTATCGGGTATTTATTTGCATTTTATTTTATTCATAGTTGCATATTTATTTTATATACCTCTTTTTTTTATGTACTTTGCAAACGAAAGTTAAGATTTATAAATAAATATGTTTTTGAAAATTTTTAAGGGTATTATTTTAAATTTTAAGGTCAATTTTTATAGTTTTTAGAAGCTGTTTTTGCATTTTTAAAAAAAGGAGCATTTTAATAAGAACTTTTAAATTATCAAAGTCCTAATCCTGTTCATTACAATTGCCCAGCGGTTAGAAAAACTACACAATTTTAGTAGTTTACCACAACTACAGCTACTTTGCTACAAATGTAGTTAACTGAAACTACTTTTTTTTAAATGTAGTGACTACAAACTACTTTGGAATTTAGTAACTTCTTCACTATTTTAAGGGGATGAAGTTTGCTTGAGAACTTAGTTTACATATATGTTCAAAATAATTTTTAATAGGAAATATGCTTACATTAAATATAAAGGAATAATAAGGAAATATTTATTCATGTTCATAGAAGCTAGTTAGTTATTCTAAAGCATTTTATTATTATTATTATTATTTATTTTTTTTGAATTTGTTCATATAACCTTAGCCATTTTATGCTTTTTTCGAAAGCGAATATTTAATTTAAGAAATACGAAATTATCTAATACTTGAAATTTTTTAATTGCTTAATGCTCTTTTATTCAGAAAAGTTGAGTTAACTTCTAAGAAATTAAGTATATCGAAAATATGTTCCCTTCCTTTGAAATACAGTAAGACCTCGATTATCCGAGCTAATTGGGACCGCTAGTACCTCGGAAATCTCGGTTAATAGAAACCATGTATAAAATCCTTCCGCGCTTGTGAATTTAACTACTTTTAAAGTAAAAAACAATGGAACATTTTTTAAATGATAAAAAAGAACATACATGATGTTTCACAGTTAAAAAGATTTAAAAAGGAAATCAACTCTAGTAGTAAATTTTAAAAAGTAAAATGGAAATTTTTTTTAACTATACTTAGTTAAATATCGAAAGACACATTTTCAAAAATAACACAAATCTCAAGAAAATACAACGACACGTACAACGAATTAAAATGTGTATAATTTTTTTCAAGCTCATTTTAGAAAGGAAGGAGAAAAAAAGGTAAAAAAATTACATAAAATTAGACTTCGTTATTCCCTTGGTTAACAGAAACCTCGGGTAATTGAGGTTCTACTGTAACATCAATATTTTACGAGCGTGCATTTGCATGTGAAAACGTAACCAATGTGATTAATTGTCTATTTTTTGTAATGGCTAGTTTAGTTATTAGTTATTCTGTGAAACCTCTCAAGAGCAACTACTTGGTGCTATAGTAAATGGTCATTATCGGAGATAAGTCATTCTTAGACCTCCATTGACCTCAAAATTCTATCGAAGGTGCATAATTTTTTGTAACCGATTTCAATTTTACTCTGTGCCATTTTCTCAAAGAGAAAATGCCACTTGTGTTGGCATCGTGAAAACTGGATGGATGAATAAAATTTAGCGTCTATAAAAAAGACCCCATCTGATATAATTATGTATAAAACGAATTTTACCAATTTTGAATGATAAAACTATTTTAAATAAGGAAAGAATTATGTTTTTCATTTAAGTTGGCAATTTATTTTCTATCATAAAAATGATTTAATTTTAAAACAATTTGAAGAGGTTGCTTAGTTTTATTTAAAATAACTTTTCTTTCTAATTTAGCTTTTTTTTTTTTTTTTTTTTTTTTNTTTTTTTTTTTTTTTTAATGACCCCTATTGATATATTTATGTATAAAAACAATTTTATAGATTATGAATTATAAAACTATTATAAATAAAGAAACAATTATGTTTTTTGTTTAAGTTTGCAGTTTATTTTATATCATAAAAATTAGTTAGTTAATTATATTTTTTAAGGATAACACTTATAGTTTTCTTATCTTTATTTTCCTTACTTATCTATTTCAGCTATTCTAATATTTTTTTTTATACAATTTTAATGTATTTTGGAATTTTTTATTTTTTTGGAAAATATGGTATAAAAATCAACTTTGCAGCTTTAAAGAATAAAATAAGAATATGGATGGTAATAAAATTAGAATAAAGAAATGAAGAAAAAATTCATCTTATTTGTTTCCTATTTTTGACTACTTTGCAATTTTAATTATTTATTTACTTTTACAATGTGCTATTATTCATTGTGTTATTTATCTGTAATATTTTTATAGATTAAAATTATATTTTTTCACTGATATATATTTTTTTAATAATTTTTTTACTGACTTTTTTTTTAAAGGTTCTGTATTTTTCAGCAAATATGAAAGCCTATAAATTTTAACTATAATTAAAACAAAAAAAATTAAATATGAGATAAAAATGTTTTTTTTTCTTTTTCTCTGATTGATTTTTACACTTTATATTTTTTTCATTTCTCTGTACTAATTTTATGGGCAACTATTAATATGGACTATTGTTGACCCTTTATTGTTATTATGTGTTAAACCTCAAAGTGTATTATTTTTTTAAATGTTTTTTTATAAAAACTTGTTGGTGAATTACCCGAGGCATTTCCTGTTCTGAAGCAAATATTATTTTTCCATGATCAAAAAAATTTTCTTGTCTTTTGTTGATTGTAAATTCTATATCTATACAATAAAAATTAATTCTATATCTATGCAATAAATAAGTTGATATTTCTAGTATTTGAAGATTCTTAATGTACTATTTTTTTTTTCTTTAAGCTGAGAAAGTTACTAAAAAGTTGATTGATGTGTCCTCTCAGGTAAGTGTGTTTAATAATAATTTAATGATTGTTTCATTTTTGAATTCCGAATAATAAAAAAAAAATACTCTTTCAGTGAAAATTTTATTCTTACCTATTTTTTTATTACTACTAGGAGATTAAGCCCCCAAATCGCTGCCGCTCACCAATAATCGCTGCCGCTTCGCAATAATTGTTGTTCCTTGGAAAAAAATAGTTTTTCTACTAACGTTAAAATTATTGACTTAACATGTATGTGCTAAAAGGATATCTGTTAGCTTACGCTTGTGCCTTCACTTTCCACGTCCAAATATTATTATCTATTAGTATTGTAAATATTTAGATATATTAGGGAACAGAAATAGTTTTTTGAAGCTATAATTTTTTTAAAATAGCATTTATATTGTTATAACAAATTTTACTAGTTCACAACTGAGTGAATATATTAAATACTATATTTGCTTTGCATCTCATTGCGCGTGAAGCTGATCGTTAAATTCTAAATCATTTAACAGATATCTTTAACTGTAATTTATAACTGTATATTAATGTTATTTGCACAAAAATAATAACTGTAAAACAGTTAATGAAATTAGATCACCTTTTAAATAACTTTATCTTAAGTTTTAAACTCTTGAATTAAAAGCATAATAATAACAGTACAGTAAAATTACTTTAAATTAGGTATACAAAAATATTTATAGAAAAACTATACCTTTATGATTTTTATTAATTTTATGTCGATAACAACCAAATCAATATGGAAATGAATGAGGAAAAACTGGATCCTACCGCATGATTTTCCGGCCAATAAAAATACACGGACAACAATGGAAAACTGTTAGATTTTTATATATAGTAAGATTATTATGTGATTACTATTAACTACTGACTTTTCAAGTACCTTAATTTCTTTAGTCAGTCATAAATACCCTACCCACTGGATATTTACCCGACCCACATCTGTAGCAACAAGGTATGCAAAAGATAGCCCATCACTTGCCGCCTAAACTATTAAGATTACTCCTTAGCATTGAAAAACTTCTATAACTCAAAATAAATCAACTATAATTCAAAAAATAAAATTTAATTTGTCTCATGCTCCAACATTAAATATTTTTTATTACTCGAAAATCAATTTGTTGAGTTGTATAAAAATTACAACTTGCAACATTTTAATAATGTCTAGCCAAGACTATTAAATTCTTTCAATTTTTGCGTACTACATTTCTTTTTATATCATTCTCTCCTCATATATGGATGTCTAATTTGGAAAGAATTTTACTCATACAGTCGAACTCGTTTATAACGAGCACAAAGGGACCGTAACATGCACTCGTTAAATCCGAGTGCTCGTAATAAACGGGTCCTTAAGGCAGGCGTGCAACCAGAAGGGGGGGGGGGAGGGTTGAGTTGTCAAATTATTGAGTTTACATAAAATTGAATTAAAATTACTTACTTTAATTAATTTAATTAAATACTTTTCTTAATTTAATGACAACTATCCCCCCCCCAACCAGCAAAAAATTTCTAGTTGCGCTACGGTCTTAAAGGAAAGAAGCAATAAACGGAAAGAAAAATAAAGGAAAAGATTCCTACCAAAACATTTATTTTTTTAATTAATCTACATATTTAAAATAGTAGTTTGTTAGCTTACTTTGAAGTTTCAGTTCGGGTTTTTTATTTTATTTCGCGCGCATTTCATCATTTTGAAAAAAAGATTGCAAGACAGAAAAATATTGCTCGCTAAAACCGGGTCTTGCTCGTTAAAAGCGACTTCTGTTCCATAGACTTAACATTGATCCAACCAAATATTCTTGTTTCCCTCGTTAAATCCGAGTTCTCGTTAAATCCGAGCTCGTTATAAACGAGTTCGACTGTACTTAAATGATCAATCATCTGTAAGAAGTATAGTTCTTCCAAATATAGAAAATTTCCTGGACATGAAGAAGAAAAATATGAAATAAAAAAATTTAATCTTTTTACAGAAAACTAAAACAATAAGTTTCAATTTTTTATTGACATATTATTATAAGATTCTGATTTGACTGAAAAAAAATTTAATTCTATATTCAGTAAGGTGATATGTCTGATTTGATGTGTTAACATTAAAATTATAGTGTTATATGTCACCCTGTATGGAGGGAAAAACATAGTTAATAGAAATAGTTAATGAAATGTTAAATGAAAATGATTATTTTCTTTTCAGCTTCCCCCAGAGGTAATTGTGAGCGTCAAAGGCTTGAGAAAAGCAATGGGAATTACTTTTCATCCTACTAATTTCTCAGAATCTGGCAAAGTTAGTAATGCAGCATCTGGGGACAATGAGAAATCTGCAGATTTGGATGAGGGGATGCTTCACTCTGCTTCCCCAACTGAAAACAGGCTCCACCATTCAGATTTAGAACATGAGCTTCACGAATTTTTGCAAACAGGATCCAATTCATAAGATCATCCTTTTCTTTGACTTATTTATTTCCACTGCATATTTGTGTACAGTTCCTATCTGTCAGGACAAATTCTCTCCCTTTTCATTCTTCAATTTCTTTTTTAAATGTATTTTGTATATATATATTGTGAAATAAAACATTTTATTGCAATTTTTTTTTAACTAATTGTGTATTATATTTCATAAAATGAGCTAAAAACAACATCTGAACAATTTAATTTCAATATATAATTCATATTTTATTTTCAATATATGCAAGGTATTCTATAACCTATGAATCATCCTTTGAGGAGTTAAATGGTACAATTTCTGTAGAAGAGGAAAAAATACAGAAAATTTATAAAATTCAACGGAATGATGAAATACAACACCCAAAATATTTTAACACAAACTAATTGTTAGCAGAGCAAGAGGATATCTAAAACTTCATTAATACTAACTTTTAAACACAGTGGCAACAAGACATGAAAAAATGTTCTAGAGAAGATAATTATGAAGGTATTCCATAATGACTATATGCATTTTTTGCAAAATAATAAGGTATTAAAAATCAGGGATTCGAATTAATTAAAGCTCAATTCCTCTTTTGCTTTTGTTGTACTTAATAGTTGTTGCAAATGCCACTTTCCAATACCATCAAGCTGGGCTTACGTAGAACCAAGCAGATTTAAGACAGGGGGTGCACTTGTTTTTTAGTAGCGCCATCTATGTCCAAGAATACAACTTTATCACTCACATATGTTACAGTCCGTTTTACAGAGTTCGTTTTCTCATTCACTCACTTTTCATCCATCCACAATGAAACGGAGAACAATCAATCTCCAATCCACTGTCCCCAGAGGTACTGATTTGTTATGGGAACTTAGTTACCTCGACAAATTTAACATCAGTCACCAATTTATACACTGGGAGTCTTTAGCCGTTCCTCAATAGTTATCTCTTTTTATCCAATAACTGGTTAAATAATTCATTAAAATGCAAGTTAATCTACATTCAATATTTTAAAAGAGGGGTACTAACTTGCAGATGCTTTTTTCCTTGGCAACTTCAATTATGTAATTTCCAAGAAAATTATCTTTTCACGAAAACTAGATATATTTGTAACATTTTTAAAAATTCCCTTGTTATACCTAAGCATTAGCGATTATTGAATTACTATTAGTGTGACTACAGTTAATGACAAAGTTACTTTTTTTTTAAAAAAACTAAAAATGGAATAAATATTTCCAACATTGATTATTCAGCTTTCATTCGTATTTTTTATCACTAGCATTTAACAAGTTGTGAAAAATTTTCGAATATTTAGAGCAAAGTCTTATAACTTCTAATAAATACTAACTTAACTTCATAACTAAACTTTGAAGTGTATGTTAGAAGTATAAATAAATATATTTATATTTTAATTGGTATCATTTAATTCTGCCACAATTTTCTCATTGAAAAACTGTTTTGTATATCATAGTTCAACATACAAAATTTTTTTAATATTATAAAGTCAGATAATTATTTTCCTAAACAGTTCATGAAAACTCAAATTAACATTTAAAACGTTTAGGAACATTTTAATATTCAGAACTTAATTTATGAATGAGTAACGTTATATATCTTTCAAAGCTCTGAGAACCACAAAATACAAGTTTTATATGGTTATTTATAAAACCTCGTTATTGTGCCATCAAATAAGAAAAATTAAAAATAATAATTGGAAGGGTGAACAAATATTGACCTACAACGTAACATACGACTGAAAAAAGTCAAGTTTTTTTTTAGAGAGGAAGTCAAAGCTAAATGTTTCTCTTCTAAAAAGAAAGAACCTCTCCCCTCTTTCTGCTAGCTGACGAAGGTCGCCTAACAAGAGAGCGGGTCTAGAAAAGCTTTGATTGGATAATCGCGTCTCTACTTAATTTATTCATGTCTAAGTTATTAGTTAATAATTGAACAGTCTACTTAAATTATTAGTCTATGGTCGGAACCTTTTAGCTTTTTTTTAGTTTGAATGTTTACATTTGCCTCATAAGTTAGGTGATCTTTGAAGTAAGGTTCTGTTACATAACAAGCTCTGGGGTGGATCCTTGAATAGCCCATCCTTGAAAAAGATTTTTTTAAAATCTCGCCAAACTAGGTTTCTGGAAGATATTTCGGGAGATATGTTGCAACCTTACAGAGAGTATTTTGATTATTTTATTTTATTAACAATATTTTAATAAATTTGTATTAATTTAAACTGTTTTTTTAAGCAACAACGTTGATCCAAGTAATAATTTGCCAACTTGGCGAGATTTCAAAAAGTCGCCAAGGGGTGGGCTATTCTTAGATTTTACCCAAGCTTTACTTTGTGAATGTTTGAGAAAGGGAAAAAATCTTTGCACGCATCAGAACCACTTCTTGTTTATATTAAATGCAGAGATGAGGCCTTTGTGAGGAAAATATTTGTGGTTTGACTTTAAGGTTGGTTAACAGTTAACTTATCTTCATCGAATGAAAATTTGATTAGTTGTTCATTTCCGTCTGCAAAAAGAACGAAAATAGCGCAAACACAGCGCCCTCTGTTCTGCATCATTCCATTTAACTTTTTGAGAAATTCAAATATTTTTAAAATATTTAATTACAAGAAAGTATTTGAAATTTCTACTCCTACCGTGATTCGATTTAACTACAAATTTTGAATCAACTAAATATCAGCCCTTAAAATCGATATTGAAAAAATAATCCTTAATCGATGTATGTATATGCTGATCGATAAATTTTACTTCATGGACGAGAGAAGTCGCTAACGCCATCCAGTGTTGAGATTTGTCAAAATTTTAGGTAAGAATAGTAATAATTTAATTATACGAGGATTTATGCATTGTTTAAGTATGGCAAATATCTGTCTACAATCCTTATTAACTATATAAATGGTCTGGATGAAGTTTTTAAAACATTATTGCTTTATAGGTGTTCATATCATCTTAAAATATCCACACAACATTTTTTACGGTTATTAAAGATGATTTGAGCTTTATTGTTTGGAGAGAATTCTCAATTTGGAAAATGGTTTTTCCTTCAAAATCTCATAGGAAGAGCAAGTATGTTTGTTTTTTTCTCTAGAAAAGTATGCTTATACTAAAATTCTAGATATATCAAGAGAGTCAATATGGCGCACTCTCATCTTGTCTATCTCAAAATGACCGTTTATTGAAATTGCTTGGCCTTTCGGTCGAAAAATAGATGGCGCTAATTGCGAGAAAAAAAATGAGCATGGCGGTGTTCCCATTGAATATGATGTATCAAAATAAAATAAAGTTCCAATATTTATTCATGTGTTCGAAAAACTATCAGTATTGTAAATATGCAATAGCAATGCATCCACTAATTCAGACTTAACATAAAAAACATGGCGACCTCAAAGGCACTTATTGATTTCTCATGTTTCAAACAGAATTTATGTCACCGGCACCTTAATAAAAAAAGTTGTTTACCTCATAATTTGTTATCTTTCTCTTTTAATGCATGTATATTTGAAAAATATCAATCCTTTCAACTGTAGTTAAGTCTTTGACTTTAAAGTACGAAAGATTTTGCTAAAGTGTCATTTTCAATTTCACTGCCTATTCTTGTCTCAGAATTGGGATATAACTCTTGATTTTAGTTAAATATATTTAATGGGGATGTTTCCGTTGTTATAAATTTATTATGGTTATTTATAAAATTATAATATCTATTAAAACGCCTTTCGTATCGTATCATTTCTAAAAAACGAATATATACATATTTAAAGTACGACATCCATATCGATGAAAAATAATCTCCATTTATAAACTTAATTTTTGCGAAATTGTAATGCTTTTAATATTCTAAATATTGTCTTGCTAAAGCAATTTGTCTGCAGTCATAAACTCCATAGTTTGAATTCTAATTATAAAATATTAATATATATATATAAAGTATTAATATAATTGATTGGAATATTCATTTGATTTATAAAATATCTGAAGTAAGTCATTTGTTGGTTAATATTTTTAACTGATAATTAAAAATTGGGATCAATCTTTACCTATTTTTTTCCTCACATATTAAACCTTTGGTTCCTTTGATGACAGGGTTTGGAGTCTCTTGGGCTTTTTAAAACAAGAATTTATTTAAAAAGGACTCTATACCATGTAAGATACTTTCAATGCAAGTTCTGTTTCACATGCATTGGTATTTTAAAATTTAAATTACAGAAAAAGGGAATTTCTAGAATAAACCATGATGTTTCAAATTCTGATTAAGTGTTTTCGAAATATTAAATTCCAATAAATTATTGAATGACTATTTTCCAAATGCATAGGAATTGTGCCATAATTTTTATTTATTTTTAATATATTGAAGTGTTATGGTTTACCTACTCAAAGTTAACCTGAATTCACTTTTTCTATATTTTAAATTTATGTAAGTGGTTGAGAATTTGCAATGAACGTATTTTCCCGTAGCTTATTTTTTAGATTACTTCTAAGTTCACCTAAACCCCGACTCCATATTGTCTTAAGTGAATATGAATAATATTTTTTTAAAAATTCTCAAAGTTATCACAATTTTAAGGTTACATTCTTCAAACATATTTATCTACACTTGCACTTAAGTGAGGCTCAGTGGCTAAGACCCTCAACTGTCAATTTAAAAGACTGGGGTTCGATCTCCAAGGGCCACAACAGACTGTTGATTAAATGCTTTACTAAAGTATGGCCATTTGCTGGATATTTTAATCACCTTTGTTTTTAAGACCCAATCAGTATAATTGATTTATTATTGGCTATCAGAACTCCTAGGTGATAATATTTAGCTTACATTTAGTCTACTTCTTCTAAAGTCTCTTTCACTTATAGCAGAATTATAAAATAAACCAAGACTTATAAAATAAAGTCTTAGAAAAATTTCAATGCTTAAAATTAATAAATATTTTTATTAAAATTACCACAGTCAGTTCAGTTTTCGTGGGATGCCTGAAAGTCCAGTACAATTTTGAAATTTTTTTTTATTCATATATAATGAGTAATTTTATAAAATTTTCCTTGAAAATGAAAATTTTTCTGCCGACTGTTCATATACCTACATTTTACGTATGAGTAGGAAAGCAAATATATTTGTGGGACATATATTTATATTTTTAATTGTATACACCCATTTACTCTTTATTATTTTTTATTTATTTGGTGGATCAACAAACTGGAAAACCTTATTTATATTCATTTAAAGAAATTGTTCTTTTAAACTATGCATGCACAGAAGAAATGTAAAAAAAATTTCCTTAAATTTGTAGTAGATCGTTTTTGGCAACTAATGAAAAAAGTTTGGTTTGACTGTCTTAAAAAGTCTCAAACAATTTTCTGTGTAATTTTTGTACTTTTTAAAAGAAATCTGAAAAAGATCAGGGGTTTAACCCTGCCAATGATATTTTGCATTTAAGACGACTATCATGGATATAAAGGACATAGTCTTTTGTGCCAAATATATTAAATTATGACATTGCATCTAATAGAATTACTAGAAATAATATCTTAGAAAAAACTTCATATTAATTTCAAAACTCTTATTTATATGTATACCTTTGAAAACAATATCATTATTACTTAAAATTAAATTAGTTGTTCTCATCTGATTCTATTCTGAACCTTTATCAATTAAATACAGAAATTAAATTGTTTCTTAAATCTGGAACAAATGAAATGTCAATAATAGTAAGAATATTTTTATAATTGTTATCAAAAGCTTTATCTCTTACAGTTCCTATAACTTCAGACTTTAAAGTTGAGTCCTTACCTGTCAAGTAGACTAGCCCATTTGTGTTTTTTAATTTCTTAAAATAGTTTTTATTTTTTGTCATTGTGTGAAGAAGTGCCAGAATCATGGAGCCAAGTTTCATTATTTCTTGCACGGGAATTTTTGGAAAATTCTTGTTTTACTGTAAGCACAAAATTATTAAAGTTTCACTTTAAATATCATTTCTCTTGGCGAAATTATCGTTCGAGTGCTTTCTTCAGTTTTGAAATTCTTACGCCAAAATGTTGTTCTTTGCTTAAGAATCAGTTGAAACAGGCTTATTTTCATATAACTGTTTACCTCAATGTAATTTGGCTTCTCACAGATAAAACACTAATTAGGCATGTTACTTTTATTTCCAATTTTTATTTGGAAGGCTTCAATTTGTTGTGTAAAATTATTCGTCATTTGTTTTAATGTGATATTTTCTTCCCGAAGAATTTCCAAGACTTCACCCATTTGCTTTTCGCTCAGCATTTTTAAGATTTCCCTATTTTTTTGTAAATTTTCTTTTTAATCTTCTTACTGTATAGTAAACCAGTTGATTTTTCAGAAATTTCTAGTCCTAGACGGGCACCTTTTGAAGAAAGTCCACTAACTCTTGCGAATTTGTGAGACATTCATGTAGATAATTTTTATTTCATTGCTGGAGTTGGATCTATTTTATTCTTTTTAGTGCCAACAAGACGTTGATTTTAAATAGAATATGAATTGTAATTACTGTTGGTCAGTAATCAGGGGTCTACCCAGGACAAATTTACTACCGTTTAGCGACGCCTTCACAAATTCATCTTTAGGAAAAGCGGTAGTTTCAAAAAATGGTTTTTAAAAAAGCAAGTTCTAAGATTCTCTTCCCCGCCTCTTAAAATTTTGTTTTTTATCACCTTAAAAAAGGGTATCACATGCTTCGTCGGATAGTGCGATATGGTAAGCGTAACCGGTCGCTTGGCCATATTATATCAAGATTTTTTTTTAAAAAATTCAACGATGAGGCGCTCTCTCTGTAAACTTTACAGGAAATTGAAATTCGAACATTATTCTAAACATTCGAACATTGTTCTAAATTTTTTCTAGCAGACCTTATTTTTTCATGAAACATTTTTTTTCTGTGAAACTTGTTTCTATATGACTCTATGGGAAATGTTCTCATAAGGAAAATAACTTTTAATTTCAAGTATCGCTAAATGCATGTTTTTTTTTAAAAAATTCAGAATAAAATTTAACAGTGGACAAATTTACTCAAATTACAAATAAACCCAAAATTTAAAATAGCAAAATTATTTTGGAATATACAGCAAAAAATATATAAAAATTTACCAGTCATAAATGATTTTTATTTGTAGTGACAATTTTTGAAAATATCTTCTAACTTTACCATATTTTTGTGTTGATTTTTTAATATAATGTTTAATTTTCACAAAATAGGTACCTCTAATAAAAACCTAGACAGACCCCTGGTAATAGAAAGTAATGATGTAAAATTTCTTTCTATGTTGAAACTCAAATGTTGGCAGTCCTATTATGTAAGCAGGAAATTAAGATGCCATTATGTCGTGGATGAAACGGAGTTCTCCTTAGGAATAAAAAAGGGCAGAGTGCTTCCTCACACAGCACTTTAAGGTTTGAAAGGGCACACACTTACCATCATTAAAGTTTATCAAAATTTGTAATATTATGTAATAACTGAATTTGATCCTCAACAATTTTTAAATTGCCCTCTTATACTATTTTATGTGTGTATTTCGAAAATAATTCTCACACATTATTAAAAGAAAAATTTGTAGTTTATAAGAAATAATTAAAGACATGCTAAAAGACAATCACTGTGCAATTTTTTTTTCAAAAAATGTGAACTAAAAAACAAAGATTAACAATTTGAAATCTTTTTTCTATAATTTAAAGTAAAAATTATGAGAAATCAAACATTTAATGGTGCATTTTTTTTAAAGGTACCACCTCTCCCTTTTTTTTTAAAGGTATTTATTTAAAACATGATTTCAAAATTTAAGATCACTTAAAAAATGTATTAATATCCCTTTCCAAAAAAAAGAGAAACTTATAAAAGTATAACTAGTTGAGAATAATCCTAACAAAGTACACTATACTTTCAATATATCAAAGTTGAAGGGACGCTAAAAAATTTGGAGGTAGCAACTTTTTGAGATAACAAGTTCAGAGCTAAATATGTTCTAAAGTGTAGAAAAATTTATTCAAAGATAGTACAGTCGAACTCGTTTATAACGAGCACAAAGGGACCGTAACATGTACTCGTTAAATCCGAGTGCTC